CTATTTTTCAAGAGCACTATACCTTTATGTTCTCTGGGACACCACTCACTACCATCAACCTGTACTACAATACTTAGGATTGTTGAAATATGCTGGAGCTCCTCTGCTGCAAGTGTTGACCCTGTCCCTGTATGCGAGTTTTTCGTAATACGAGCAGGATTTCCTCGGAAAATATGTCTCGGAAGGCGAGGGTTACCTCGGAACGCGAGTTTGTTGATACGCGTTCAGGGTGACCTACCGCGTGGTCGTTCGGCGATCGTCGCCCCTCCGCCCCTCAGTTTACCATTGTCTCACGCCCAGTGACTATCCACATCAATTCTTCACCCAGATTTTCAGTGTTTTGTTGGCTTTTTGGTCATTTGACTATACAATTTGTTATTATATATCTCACCATGGGTCCCAAGAAAGCCAGTGGTAAGGATCAAGACAAGGAAGCCCATGTGAGGATGACAACAGAGGGAGAAACAAGAGATAAATACAGATAAAACCGAGATAAAACTCAGATAAAACTTGCCAGGGAGTGCACACCAGAAAGGTCCTCGCTGCCTGATGTGATAATGGAAGGGGACTTCCCCTTCCAAACAGTAACTCCTCTCCTCCTCCCCCCTCCTCACCATCTTCCATATGCCTACAGCATTCAACAGCAAGGCAAGTAATAACTTGAACATAGTTTTGTAGGTTTATTTAGATGAATTAGGTATAAAAATTTAGTTTGATGTGGGGTTTTGGGGTAGTCAGAAACGGATTAATTCATTTCCCATTATTTCTTATGGGGAAATTAGCTTCGGAATACGAGTTTTCGGAATACGTGCCGTCTACAGGAACGAATTAAACTCATAAACTGAGGTACCCCTGTACATGTGTACACATACATGTGAAAAGAAAATTACAAGCCGCCGACCAGGGGGCAGAGAGCACCAAGCCGGACAGGCGAAGAAGGCACAAAACTGCATCAAAAGGCCCACCTCGACAACAAAACCTCAAAGTCCCAGCACGACCACAACATGTGCCAAGATCCAAAAAGATCAGTCTGCAAGCCAGGAAGACCCCGGAACTCCAGAAGGCAGAACCGGGTCACACACGAGGAAACAAAGCCCCCTGAACCCACAAAGGGGGTCCAAGACAAAGAAACCTCTGGAACGAAACCAAAGAACCCAAAAGAACTCGGAATCAAACCAGGGGGAGACCAAACCACCACATTTGCCGGTGGAGATACACCACAGAAAGGCAAAGCACAGCCCCCAGACAGAACCCCCAGGGAAACGGTCAAAACAGACCGAAAACCGAGGGTCACAGTGTGGGAGCAAGCATAACAGACAGGGACACTGAGCCCAAACCCAAGGGCCCAGGCCCAAAACAGACAAAACAGAAAACCCGGTGTAAAATCAACACTTAAACATTCCCAGAGGTACAGGAAACGGGCAAAAAACACCAGAGAAGCAAAGAAACGACAACAGGAGAATAAAACCCCCGAAAAAGGTGGAAAACTCCCTTAAGACACTAGCTCGCAGACTGAGGCGCATGTAAACAAACCGCAACGCCGCCCAGGTGGCCACGCCGGGAAACCAGCAGAAGAAATGGCCACCAGAACAGAGGGTTGTGACTGATGCTAAAGATATGAAAACATGCCAGGAAAAGTGGGAAGCAAGCAGACTGGATGGGCAAAAAACTCCGCCCAGAAGCAGAAAACCAAGGCAGGGGGCAAACCGTCCCAGAACTGCTAGCAGCCTGATCAACCAGGCTGTGACTCATACGTCAGGCTGCGAGCAGCCGGGTCTAACAGCCTGGTTTATCAGTCCAGCAACCAGGAGGCCTGGTCGACGACCGGGCCGCGGGGACACTAAGCCCCGGAAGCACCTCAAGGTAACCTCAAGGTAGGCATCCCCCACAGCCTCAGGAACCCGCAACAGAGGCCCCAGGACAGAGCTGTCGTCCAAGCCCTCCGCCCTTAAAGAAAAGTTAGAGTCCATGGGAAAGGCAGCAAGAAAGGGCCGCTGGTAAGACCTAGAAGCCTTGGCAGGAGGAACAGGCTCGAAAACCTCCGTCCCCAATCGAAACGGGGCAGACCCCGAAAAACTGCCCAAGTCTCAGCCCCAACTAAATCCCGCCCCGACCTCGAAACCCGCAGACGGTCCGGAGCCGGGAACACGGAGGGAAAGGGGCGAACAGTACCTAACCAAAACGGGGCGGCCTCGGGGCATCCAAGTGGGAAACCAACCAAGTGTGTTGCAGCAACCTAACCTAGCTTGCAACACGGATGCCGCCTGTACTCTGAACAGTAATAACATCAGGAGAGTACTGGAGAACAAGCAGAGAATCTCTCTCGCAAGACTCCGGGTCAAGGTGTCAGTGACCCAACAGGCTACATGACGGAGGTAAAAGTGGCAACTGTCACCCGGAGACAAGGGCACAGCAACCAACGATCCCATACAAGACAGGTTGGAACCCGGAACACACATGCAATGGTCCACCGAGCCCAGACAGGGGTTTCCAGGGCCCATAAGCTGACTGCTATGGGAAGCCCGGACAAGGTGTTGCTAACCAGTTAAGAAACCCAAAAATAACAAGAGGGTATAGTATTACACTGAGAATCCCTGCAACGTGTACAATCACGGGGGCCTAGCACAGGGCCACCAAACACTACCAGTGGAACTATAGCCACACTATGCAGACCCACACTAGGCAAATGAAAATAAAAACAAAAGAAAAACCCCGCAAAAGTACACCATCTCCAGAGGCAACAGGAACTGGTCGCCGCTTAGGTGGCAGGTTGCGCAACACCTTGACGCCCTAACCAGCACAATACCAGTCCCTACCCAGGGCCAAACAAGGGTCCCAAGCCCCAGCTGGCCCCAAGGGCAAGGCCAATGCCGAGCAGCAAGAACCTCTACGGGAATGTTTCCCAAGCGCCCCAGGGAAGATAACCCTGTCACGCAGGGGCAGTACTCACAGGGCGCTTAGGGAAGGAAGCCCCTAAGGACATGCAGCCCCGGCACTGATGAGGTACTCCTGGCCACCGCACAACACAATACATGGCAGTGAACGCCACACAAGGCAAACACCGCCTAGGAAACCGAGGCCAGAGAAGCGTCTATCCCGGTTGACATTAGTTTACAAACTGATGCTAGGCAGCCAGCGCGGTAGGTCCGGGGCTCCCCCCCTCCCCCTCTCGAGGCAGGGAGGGCTGCGTGGACGATCAGCGCGACAGTAAAGTGTGATGTTTGCTTGTTTCCTTGGGATTGTAGGGAGTTTCTACCTCTGTTCGTTTTTTTGTTTTAGTTTTTTACCATGTGGGGTTTGTTTTGTTATGCCTACCTTTCTGGGTGCCTAACTCCGGTCGATGGCAGATAAGGAAAACCCCAACCACAAGGGAGTTTTCCAGGGCCATTGCTTCCTGAAACCTCTCTGAAGGGGCCAGGTTCTGGCGCTGGTCCCTGGTAGGTCTGAACTCCTTAGCTAATGTCCCAGTCTAATATAACATACATTAGCCTGATAAGCTCCAGGGAGCCGTAGGGGCTCCCCACAGAAAATAAAAATAAAAGAAAAACCTGCATGAGTATGTCACCAGGCAGGATAGAGCCAGCTGCTGTATTAAGGTAAAAACAAGCTGCACAGCACCTTGCACCCCTGCCTGTATTGAAGCTACCACCTACCCAGAGACAAACAGTGGCACATGAAACACCCTAGCTGACTCCAAGGGCGAGCAATCACCCAGCAGCATAAGACCACGGCAGAGCTAAGTCCCAAGCAACTTGTGGAAGGGAATGCCAAGCCACAGGGCAGTACTTAAACAGCACTTAGGAAAGATAACCCTTGGCACATGCAGCCTGAGTACTGGTGAAATTACTCCTGGCTCACACCACCACCACAGGACAGAACCACACCTCAAGGCACAGCACTGGACAAAGTCTGGAGCCAGTCGCACGACCGCCTGGTCTCACATCAGCCACAGAACCGAGGGTGTGGATAGCCAGCACGAGGGTCTGGGCCTTCCCCTTTCCCCTCCAGGGGTGGGGGGGAAAGGGAGCTGCACAGACAGCGGCCCAGTGACAGTTGTCACGTCAGGCTCGTTTGCTCGTTTTTGATTTGGAGGAGTTCTGTCCAACAGTTGGGCTTTCAGTAGCAATATTTTAAACAGATAAGGTTTGTTTTGGGGTGCCTACCTTTCTTGGTGCCTGACCCAGTCGATGGCAGACATAAAATGTTTCCAACCACACAGGGGTTTCTATAGGCTATTGCTCCTCATGCCTTTCTGTGGGGGGCCAGGTTCTGGCTTGTGGTCCCCGGTAGGCCTAATAACTCAATTCGCTTTGACTGATGCCAGGGTCTAATACCTCTACATTCATAACAGCCCAGATAGCTCCAGGAAGCCGAAGGGGTTCCTCCCCAGTAAAGCAGGAGCGATGCCTGTTCATAAAGGAGGCAAGACAGCTGACAAACAATTACAGACCAACATCAAATCTACCTACACTTTCAAAAATATTTGAATAAATTATTTACAAACAGCTCTATTCATACTTTGTAAAACAACATATTGAGTCCCTGCCAAATTGGCTTCTGTTCCCAAAAATGTATCAATGATGCCATTATTAGTCTGCTTAATATAATCTACAAAAACTTGTAGATTATATTGACAAAACAATGAGACAATTTTTGTCCCCTTGACAAAAATGAGTTCCCAATAGGCCTCTTCATTGACTGAGAAAGGCCTTTGATACTGTCAACGATAACTACCTCTTTCTTAAACTTCACCACTATGGTATCCGAGGCCTTGCTCTGTAATATATTCGTTCCTATCTCTGTGACAGACTTCAATATGTAGACATCAATAGCATATCATTCCCCTAATCTATCTCGGCATATTTGCTCCAGAAAAGTAACTTGCTGGCTAATCTACTAAAAGCCAATTGTTAATTTGGTGAATAAACAAACATTTAGGTATATCTTGTACTCTCAAAAAAACAAAATTTGCCGCATTTAAACTATTTTCTTAAACTTACTTCCATCATCGTGTTTCATATAGAGGTTGTGACCTATCATGTGCGTCATAGTGGATGCCACTAAATGCGGCTCATACACATTGAGATCAACAGAGATGCCAGCTGCTTTTGGGGTGCAGATGCTGTTGGGAACCCCCATCCCAGACTCCCCACTCTGGAATTGTTCCCCTCTGAAATACAGTGAAGGAACATGTTAGTTGTGTTATAGTCCTTACCGTGTTTGTAAAAACTAACATTAAATCTAATGAGATGCCTCTTTCTGGTGGGTCCTTTGTGGCATATTTGTGCTCATTGCCTGTCAAGTCCTTCCAAGTCATATAAAGGCCTACCTTAGATCAGACACCAAAACCTGACCCCCTTCTAAAGAAGAGCAAGTAGCAGGGGATTATAGTTCACTGTAACCTAGAAAATACCACTAGTAATGTGGACAAATCAATGCAGATAACAGCAAGGTAAATGGAGCATAGACAACAGGACACCAAAACCCTGTGATTCATGAACCACATGGTTGTGAAGCAATTCTCACATTAGTACCACCAGCACATCACCAGGGGACTGAACATATTCCTTCATGATCCAGAAATCTTGAATCTTCAGTTATAAAGTCTACAAAGTCATACAGTATAGACTATAAACAGAAAAAAAAAGTGTTGAATGTAAAGAAATGCCATTTTCTGGGTGAGCCCCGGAGGCTCCCTGAAGTTATCCAAACCGATATGTGCTGTATTAGTTTGGAGTCATCAGTTACAGGAGTCTTTATGCCTACCGGTAACCATGAGCCAGAACCTGGTCCCCTCTGAGAGGCGCAGAGAGCAATGGCCTATGAGCACTTTACATTTAACACTTTGGCGTACCCCGCGCGCCACCCCTCAACTGTGCGATTTGGGTCCCAGGGTGTCACGGAAGCGCGAGTAAATTCTGAAAAGTGTATACTCTCCAACTTTGTCACCTTAATTCTCGTCCTACGAGATTAAATTTGGTATCATTGTGTTCGCAATAGAATTCTCTACAGCACTAAATGCATATAAACTCCAAAAGCCCGGCTAATTACCCGCAGCAAACAGAGAAAGTGCGAACGAGTTACCCAGGAGAGCACAAACGCGATAAAATGTTTTCACTATTTTCACTCTGGTCACCTCAATTTTCGTCCTCGGTCTTTCATTTTGGTCTCAATGGGTTCGTAATAGAATTCTCTAGAGGAACATTAGCATATAAAATAAAAAACCTGGTCACGCTCCAACTGCCGACGAGTTGAAGACGGGCCACGCGTTAGCCGCGAGTGAACGCTCAGACGCCTTCCAGCTACACTCCCAATTCCCGCTCTTTTCAAGCCTTTCTTTCGCAATTTTCTTCCTGGAAGGGCCTTGTTCATGATCACTATCCATCGTGGAGTAAGCGTAGATAGTTTCTAAAGCCGCAGTAAGAAATATAGCCACAGAAAATAGCCGAAATGTTCACATGTTTGAGATGCGATGGGAGGCGACATTGGTCACAACAGTGGAGCGAAAACAATGGGCCTACGGCGTGTGCCAAGCCGCCTGAGGGCCACGAGGCTCAAAGAAAATGGGAAGACATCGGCGCACATTTTAAAACCAGTCCCAAAAAAATCTGATAAAAACCTGATTTTTGACGATTATTTAAAGTGGATGACGCAATGCTGCCTCATCCCTGGTATTACCGACAGTAAACGGATGACGCAATGCTGCGTCATGCCCGGTCAAAAGTGTTAAAGTATGTTATAATTGTCATCGACTGGGGAAGGCACCCAGAAAGATAGGTGAAACAAAACAGACCACAATCTGGTGAAAATTGCGACCTACATCCGAACATAGCAAAGAACTCCCCCAGAAAGTAAACAAACAAGCAGCACTTCATCCAACTAGCCCTAGAATAAAAGAATATAACATACAACGAGTAGAATAAAAGCCTTTCACTACTCCCAAAGGAGAGAAGCAAGCAAGCAACTTGGGCAGCCCCTCTGGGGCCTTACCCTCAGGCAACAGGAGTGCAACTGAAAGCACACTGTACAAGGCATCCAAGCCACCACGAAGCTGACTGAATAAGAACTCCACGACAGGCCAAACCCTAAAAACTGCTATCAAGTGCATTAGAGCCCTGTGATCCTTCAACACACATCAGGCCCATAAATTAAAGGCAGCTGAACATGCAGCTGCTACATGCCCACATCTTGGACTAAGGTCAGTGCAAACAGGCAAAACCAGAGCAGTGCAAAGACAGCATCACCCAAAAATGGCTGAAAGACCAAACTCGCCTCATGATACTCAAGCATTCAGGTAAGACCATAGCCATGCCAAGCCCACAAGGAAAATTGAGGGTTGCTTGCTGGCAAGAATGAATCATGACTAATTTATCACAAATGCAATAAAACCTCATGCTGCAAATCAACAGCAAGCTGCCAACCTAAATTAAGAATAAGTGAGGTTTATCAAAGATACAAGATTCTGGTCCTTAAGGAGGAATTGAAAACGTGTCAAATGAGCCACTAAGAGCAAAAGATGGAAATTTTGAAACTTCTGCACTCACAATGCCACTGAGGACTACTCAAATCCAGAATCACACAAAGAGAAAGCCATCAAGGAATAGATCTCAAATAACAGAGGAGGGGGGTTCAACACACCCTCCACATTAACAATATTCTTCCTCAGAGGAAATCGGTGACCAATCAGTATGAAAAGGCACCCAGTTACTTAAACTCAAGAGTCCTAGTCCCAGATACCCCCCCCAGGAATGGCGTGCACTAGAGTAAAGTCAAGATTCATGCCAGATGTAGAAGACAAAAAAAAATCTCACCACAGAAATATTCACAGCTGTAAAACCGTCCTGAGAAATAGGATGCAACAGATGCTCAGCGGGAAGCAGCAGCTCAACTACTTTCAGTTTCAAAGTGGAAAGGGGATGGGGGGTACCCAGAAAAGGCCCAAACACACCTAAAGCATCATAATCCCCAAACCTTGAAACCCTCCGACATTTTGGAACCGAGAGCAAAGGAGGTAGGCCCCAGACCTGCTGAACAACACTGGATGGATGCAGTGAAGGCTGTGAAAGAGTAAACTTAGAGTAAGCAGAAAATATCAACTGCTCCAAGATCTGGTTTTGAATAGACAAAGGGGGGCAACCATGAGGCAACCAACAGCAATGTGAAGCTGCATTCTATATATTTAAGGACAAACCTGGCATGTAAAGTGGCAAACTTCTGATAAGCCAAGCCCTAAGAGGAGGAGGCTTAGCTAAACCAGAAACCCAACAACCAAAAATGTAACAGAGGCCACTGGAATAAATTAAAACTGAAGCACATCCTTCAAACTTACACCTGGCAAGGGCAAAATTCGAAGGTTGGTCCATAATAAACAGTTAAAATTGCAAAGCGTTCGCTGGTATAATTGCAAAGGGTTCCTGCCTGGTATACTCAAAGATTATACCAGGCAGGAGCACTCTGCACAGGTATAGTGCAGCTTGCCGAACATAAGAAAGATTGATAACAGCACAAGAGAAAATGTAATTGTAAAAGCTGTAAGAAATTTGTCATATAACAAGCACGTGAATAACCTACAATACCTTTAAACTAAAATTAAACTGCCCCTATCTGCAAGACCTCACAGAGGAGTCAAAAGACCTGTGCACTACCAAGAGCAAGGCTTCTTCAAACAGCAAGCTGGGCTCTCAGAGACAATCACTTGAACCCCTCAGGGAATGAAATTCTGACTAGGCAAGAACAATGCCAGTGAACACCTAGAGACAAGAACTCTAATTACATTCAGTTGAAGACGAACAGTTAATCAGAAGCCACACAAGAAGTATGTCTTTGTAAAACAATTACTAAAACAAAATGCACAAGCAAATAGCCCCCAGCAGGACAAAACCAGTGTCTAGGATGGCTAGCACTTTTCTGAAAACCTGGGATCTAAAGGGCATTGGAAAGACGACTGTAACAACAAAAGTGATTAACGTAGCACCAGTAAATATGACATGTTTCAAGGCTTGTAGATCAAGGAAGAACCTGCACAGTACCTGATGGTACTAATGTGATAATTGCTTCATCATCAAGTGGTTCATAAATCTTGTGGTGTCACTGTCCTGTTTTTTATGCTTTGTTTGCCTTTCAACAAAGTATGCAACCTACATACTTTCTCAAGGTGCTGTAAACAATGCTCATTGTTTACAGTGGTCTGGTCAACATACTTTAGCCACGTTATTGTGAATCATCGCCTGCTCATTGTTTACCTTGCTCCCCGAAATTTGTTTACAGCACCTTGAGAAAGATATACGTTGCATCCCAAAATTTGGTTTTAATACACTTAAACATATATTGGATCTTCCCTTCACCTCCGGCAGTAATGATGATAATGAGGAAATCTGTAGGAGCCGTGAAGAGGATTCAAACCTATGCACTGGGTATTCCCAGACACATGTCGTGGCGTTATCATCTAGGACATGATAAAAGAATTGCAACCTGGAATTCTCCTCAACCCACAAGGATTCCCCGAGACTTCCACTGAAGCCGAACCAGGATTTCATACAATTCCCCCCCCCCCCATGTACTCTGGCTCCTTTCTCTATGTATTGAAAGAAGGGGGTAGAATTACTGGACAACAGTCATAGTGCATGGGGAAATTGTGTGAAATCCTGGTTCGGCTTCAGTGGAAGCCTCAGGAATCCTCGCGAGTTCAGGAAAACCCCAGGATGCAAGTCTTTTACCATGTCGTTGCGTAGTCGTCTAGGACATGCATCTGGGAATACCCAGAGCATAGGTTTGAATCCTCATTGCGGCTCCTGTGGATTTTTTCATTGATATATTACATTACTGTTATCTGTCTGTGTAATAATAATAATAATAATAATAATAATAATAATAATAAATAATAATTTGTCATCCACACTTCCATGAAAATAAACATTTCATTCACCTGGGCTCTAAGCCCAGGTGATCCACAGACAACACGTGTGAGGCAGAAGCTCTATTGACTGAACTATGAGCAGTCTTACGAAGAAAAGATCCCAGAGGCAACTGCTGCTGCCATGCTGGAATTTTCAACTTTTCCTGACATCTACTAAAGCTCAGAGTTTATATCCTGAGTACTGACATTTATTTCTATGGAAGTATGGATGACAATTTATGTGATGTGGGCGTGGATCACTAATTCCTCTGAGC